GAGCAAAACATCTCTCATAAGCAGCCCCTCGGGCAAAACATCACTCATATACAGCCCCTCGGGCATCCTCACAGTCGCTCATATACAGCCCCTCGAGCATAACATCACTCACACTCAGGGTACCCGCGCTCACTGGGGGTGTGCAGACTCCGGATGGGCTCCTTCAGCCCAAGCGCTATAACTAGCCACCTTGTGACATAAATCAATCAGGCCCTCGGCCTCACTCAATCATGAATCAGTAACAACATGCTACAGTGTGTAGCCCGATCCCATAAATATCCTCACAAATCAAGCCCTCGGCCTCACTCAGTCATAAACCTCTCAAGCCACTAGGGCCATCAGTAAAACATGGTGCTCAGCCCAAAACAACATTTTAATGCATCAAAAATAGAGTAATAAAGACTGAGTTATGAAATCAATAAGTATGACATGACTGAGTATAGATTTTCAACCAAAAACAGTGAGAGGATAATAAGAAAAAGGCCCATAAGGGTCCAAATAGCTCTAGCACAAGGCCCAAATATGGCATTCAGCCCAATTTGCAGAAACTCCTTTTAAAACACATATGTATCATATAGTTTCAACCAAATACGAACTTATAGTTTCTACGGGACGGACCAAGTCATAATCCCCAACGATGCACGCCCACGCGCCCGTCACCTAGCATGTGCATCACCTCAAAATAGTAAAAACAATACGAAATCCGAGGTTTCATACCCTCAGGACTAGATTTACAATCGTTGCTTACCTCAAACCGGTCAAATCTCTAGTCCGCGATGCTCTTGCCTCTCGACTCGGCCTCCAATCGCTCTGAATCTATTCACAACCAGAACAATACCATCAAAATGCGCTAATGGAATGGATTCCACAAGAAAAACTAGCAAATTAGGCACAACTCCCGAAATCATCTCAAACCCGTCCCCCGGGTCCACGTCTCGGAATCCGATAAAAGTCCCAAAACTAGAAATTCCTTTCACTCACGAGTCCATCCATACCAAATTCATCAAAATCCGACATCAAATGGTCCCTCAAATCCCCAACTCAAACTCTCCAATTCCCAAGCCCTAACCCCTCATTTTCTCCCCTAATCTTCACTAATTACATGATTAATCAACGGGAAATCATCACATATACGAGTATTAGGGCTCAAGTCACTTACCTTGCTGATAAACCCTTGAATTCCTCCTCAAAATCGCTCTCAAAAGCTCCAAAGCCGTCTAAAAATGGTGAAAATGAACTAAAATTCGCGAACTCCACCTTTTATACATTCTGCCCAGAACTTCCGCATCTGCGGTCCTCATGTCTCTTCTGCGATGCCGCACCTGCAGAAAATCCATCGCAGGTGAGGTTCTCACTTAAGCCCTTAGAAATCGCTTCTGCGGTCAAATTCTCGCACCTGCTGCTCCTCTCTTAGCCCTATATTTTCCGCATCTGCGGCTGCCCCACCGCATCTGCGACCTCGCACCTATGGTTCCCACTCCGCAGGTGCGGAAACATCAGAAGAAGCAACTTCAGCTGCCTTATTCCCTTTCCAAATCCTCCGTTAACCATCCGAAATCATCCCGAGCCCTTCAGGAACTCATCCAAACATGCCAACACATCCCATAACATCATTCAAACTTAGTCGAACCTGAATCGCAACAACATCAAAATACCAAATCACCCTCGGATTCAAGCCTAAGAACTTCTAAACTTCCAAATTTCGCAAACGATACCAAAACCTACCAAATCACCTCCAAATAACCTGAAATTTTGCACACACATCACAAATGACATTACGAACCTACACCAACTTCCGGAATTCCATTCCGACCCCGATATCAAATTTTCCACTGCTGACCAAAATAGCCAAATTTTCCAATGTCGCCAATTCAAGCCTAATTCTACCACGGACCTCCAAATCACATTCCGGACGTGCTCCCAAGTTCAAAATCACCTAAGGGAGCTAACCAAACCATAAAAATCCAAATCCGAGGTTGTTTACTCATAAGTCAACATCTGGTTGACTTTTTCCAACTTAAGCTTTTAAATAGGAGACTAAGTGTCTCATTCCACACTGAAAACACTTCGGACCCGAACCAACCAACACGATACGATGAAATACAACTGAGGAACACATAAAGAAGCATAAATGGGGGAAGTGGGGCTATAACTCATGAAACAACCGGTCGGGTCGTTACAGTTCTTCGATGTGTTTTCTTGTGACCTTCCAGCACTACAAGAAAAACGGCCTTTAAGGAAGGGAAATCTGGTCCCTAAAAGACCAAATCTGGTCCCCAAAGGAGAAATAATGATGGGCAAAAGTTGGTCGCAACCCATCGTAATAGCTTCCGCCGCTAAAAGTCAATAATGACGGGTCCAAAAACCTGATCGTTAATTGATTTAGAGACGGGCAAAAATTCTGGTCATAAAATACTTTTAGAGACTGCGCATCTCGTCCCTAATAGACGACGAAAATTATACATATTCCCGTCGTTAGAGCTTTTAGCGACTAACCTCCAACTGGTCATAAATTATCTTTTAGAGAAGGGTAGAAAATCTGGTCGTAAAATACTTTTAAAGATGGACAAAAAATCTGGCCGTGAAAAATAAATATATTTCAATCGTTAAACCATTTTAGCGACCAACCTTTAACTGGTCGTTCCAGATTATCTTTTAGAGACGAGGTCCCTGTTCAAATTAAAATAATTGGTGTAGTTTGGCGACAGTATTTTTGGTCTCTTATTGACCATGAGTAGTTCTAAAGCTCGATACCACCAAAAGCTATTTTTATCAATAAATATCAAATTGTTATAGAAAAATCTAGATATAAAAATATAATATATCAAGTTAACATCCCATGATGATGTTAATTAGTTTCAATATTTTGCTCAACACCTTAACAAAAAAACTTAGCTAACATCCTGAGGTAGACTATGATATCAAGTTTTGCATAACAGCCCTAGCAAAATAATAATGAACTTGTGCATCTTCTAAACTTGAATCATGACTTGTAGCTTCAATCTTCAAAACCTGTAAGTACAAAAGTTTGAAAAGATGATAAATAACTATTGATAAAATAATATGTAAATTTAATACTAGCAATGGTTAAACCATTTACCCCAAAAGCAGTCTAAATTCACCAGGGGTTATCCAGCAACATTAACAAGCCTACATGAATATAAATAAAATTTATTAGAAAAGCTTTGGGATGGTAAATCAAATTTTGGTTTGATAAATTTCGGTACGGTAATTGGAGATTTACCATTCAAGAGAGAAACTATTACGAACAAAACACAACATCACTTGGTATTTTAAATCATGAGAGAATAATATCATCTACTTCTACTGATCGCGGACATTACCAGTTATGTGACATACAACAAATAAACATAACATTCAAAATCATGTTCTACCAATATAATTCAAAATAATATGTGGCAAGTTTCTCATAGAATTCACAAGATTAATCTTTTGTCTAGAGGCTCTAACTTTGAATTCTCACATGCTTGAGGAAAGAAAACATTGTAGCAGATACGCTTGCTAATTGCAGTGAAGTTTCACGAATAAAACTTTTGTTAGTGTTGTCCGTAATCCGTGAGATTATGGTACTACACCAAACTTGAAGGAAACAATTTTCTTGTCGAGTAGAGTTGAACATCCAAACAGATAAATCAATCTTTATTCTAGTTGCAAAGGAAACTTCAGGCAGTCGGAATGTCTACAATCCATCAGAAATCCAAGCACTTTGTTATGAAGTCACTGGCATCATTAGAAAGTAAACAATGCCATGTCACATAAGCTTGTGCAAATATTCACTATATGGTAGATGAGTTTTAATGTCATGTCAACACTAATCCTGAAATATGCAGTAATCTCCTTCAACCCCTTGGGATATGTCCTCACTTCTAAATCTAAATCACCAACAAAAAAGTGGCACTGTAATGCTGCCCAAACTTAAGGTGCTACACTGATAGCTTTAATATTAGAAAATACAACAAACAGTGATAGCTTTAATATCAATGACAAGCATCTTTGGCTTCACACAATTATGCCTTTTATGTTAAAGATGCCTTCAGTAGAACTGTGGAGTAGGTTTAGGTGTTTAATAAACTGATTAGCTAAGAATTTTTCTGAAGAATATAGGAATATATTAGCTATCATCAGTATGAGGGACACGTTCCATTTATTCAATAACAGGTTTCTATTGATGATTATGGTTATGATTTATCCGGTCTTTTGTGAGAGTTATTAGCTCATAAGTCTCGTGTGTGCATGATTATATAGAAATTGACTACACACAAATCAACTAAATAAATTAAAAAGTTGGGTATATTGTTACTAACTTGGTTTGCGGACAAAAACAGTGGTCATTCAGTTGAAACGGGCGATGTCGTCGTAAGCGGGACATGTGATTGTTGAGTAGCTAAGTACTCTCTTATTTTCCTCATTTCTTTCATCTCATCTTCTAAGGTAGACAAGCGCTCATTGAAGGATTTATTTTCCTCATTCAAAGATTTATTTTCTTCTCGAGTTGAACGTAGCGCGGACAGTAATTCAACCTTTGAAGAAGTGCCACCTTTCAAGTCTTTCGCCTTTACTCTACCCCCAAAGTCAAATACATGGCTACGAGTTTGAGGTCCACAATATTTTTCTACAATCTCTATACTAGGTATAGATGGATCTGATTGAACTATTTCTTTGATCTGAGCCTACAAAATATATAAAGAAACATTTTATATCAGAACTTATAATAATTTCAAGTAATTTACATATTCAATTTACCAAACATACATGTTTTTCAATTGCTTCAGGTTCAACAAGCTTGTTACTTTCTTACGGGTCTCAAAGAAAATTGTTGCCAAATCTGGTGGATTGCCATCTTTTCCGCCCTTTACATCAAAGGCAAACAAGTCAAATAACAGCTCGTAATAGGAAAATAGAGATTTTATGGTAATACCTTTTGATAAATAATCTCTCGAATAGGCTTGCTACCAATATGATGAAGCATCTTCAATTTAGCTCGATTTGCTGCATTCCTGTTGCTTCTCGCCTATATTTGTGAAAAATTAAGCTTAACTGTAATATTTTTAATAAACTTAAATAATATACTTAGGTTCCACGTATAGCAAAAAAAGATCTGGTGCTAGGGAGGGGAATCAGGCTGCAGATGCTTTAGCGAAATAGATTATTAAATCATTAGGCATACCTGAAAACTTTCTGAAGAAAAATGTTCCTTAACTAACCACTCCCATTCTTTCTTGTCTACTCCCTTTGGAATATTCTTAAGAGCCTGTTGGATTGGCTTATCCTTCACATATTTTGCATGCAAGTGTCCTCTCCATTTGTTCCATAACTCTTTCATCCATCCGAAGATATGTTAACGATGATCATTCATGTCAACACTCTCAAATTTATCCTACAATATTCAAAACATGAGTTAGAGTTAAATGTTCAGTTATAGTAACTGTAAACTGGATGCTTTACTTTGGGTATGGGAACTACTCTTATGGGAATTTATACCATTTTTTGTTATCTTCAGTCACACATACTTCTCAAGATACCAAAATATATTATCATGGCTGTTACAAACAGAAACCATACAAATACAAATGCAAGACTGACTGAGTTTGAATGCTTACAAATTTTAACAACTCTACGAAAGGCCAATCCAAGAAAATTCAAAAGATCTTTTCTAGCATCGCATACGCAGTTAAAAGTGTTAAAAAAAGTTATTAAAACTGAGGGGAAACACTTCGCTTTTTGATGTCAGGTTCAAGTATTCCATTTCTTGCATTTTTTTTCCCTTTATATTGAGTTAAAAATTGGAAAGATTGAGGTTTCTTCTACATTCTATCTGCGACTCAGGTGGACTTGGGCTTCTTCTGATGTCTTAGTTCAGGCCAACATTCTTCTTAAGGAAGAACAAGTAAGTTGACAATGATCGCTTTATTTAATTAACTAAGCGAGAAGTAACAGTTATAAATCATAATGCTGCAGAAGTTCATCGACTTTGAACCGTCAATGAAGCACTACTGATAATACTAGTTGAGAAGGGATCCTACATCAGACCACAGTATAGATAAATTTATCAGCAATACCAGGTGCCAATGTCATGTTTTAACACTACAACAGAACTTAGATGACAGTTTTCTCAATTTTGAACAGCAATCATCCCTCGTAATCTGTTATAAAATTTTGCTCTTACTAAAAATAAAAATAAAAAGAAAGAGCACAAAAAAGTTTTAGCAGAAGACTTAAAAGCTGAGAAGTACTAAGGTAAGAACACATGGTAGTATGTTCCACATTCTTACCAGCAAAACTTTCTATGGAGTATGTTGAATCAGTTAACATTCTCATACCATTATACAGATAATATAGTTAACATTCTCATACCATGAGCAGAAACACATTTTCTCTAAAATGATTTTAGTAGCCCAGAACATGATTTTGAAAATATTCTACATGAATGACTGAGAATTCAAATGTTCTGCAGAAAGTTCCGTACATAGACTTAAAATGACTCAAAATGCACATATTCTGGGCAACAGTTGTTACCTCAATAGCTGCCCACATGTGATTCAACTTTTCTTGCTTAATATCATTCCATGATGATACTCCCAACGGACACATATTACGGTCACGAACAATTCTTCCCAAGTGCCTCGAAAATAGTTTGCTATTTGTTCCAACCGTTCGATTATTGTAAAAGGTTACCTTCAGCTTTTGTCCGACTTCAAGTGATGCAACTTCTTTGCACTTGTTCCTCCCTCGAACTCTTTTTACCTTTCCAAGATTAGATAAAGAGCCTACAGTTGCAAAATTTGGTAAAAACTATAGCAATAAAATTCATTTCTACAAATTAATAACATATGGATTCAAAATATCATACATGTTTCAGCTGTTTGGTATTGTTGGATAACATGATCAGTAGACAGAGGCAATGAAATATTAGTTTACGTGTGCTCTTTCTCAAGAACCAAGGAGCTTTTATCCATTGTTTGCATTTCTTGATTAGAAGACATGGTAAAATTCGATCTTGTGCTTTTAAAAGAAGTTTGCATACGTTGATTAGAATGAAGAGCACTGCTGTGGAAAGATCCCATCTCGTTTTTCGAAATCCCTAAAGAGGAGCACAAAGATCTAGGTGTTTTCTCCTATCCCTTCCCTATAGAACATGGACCCAAGAAATCATTTTAGTAAAAGCTTTGGCATTTAAAAACACAATAGATTTGGAAACACAACAGACTTGGAAAAACTTACTTGCTTCAATTTTTTGGGTATATTGCTTAACTTGATCAGCAGATGGAGGCAATGGAGTATCAATTTGCATATACTCTTTCTCAAGAACTATGGAATTTTTATGTTTCGTTCCCATTCCTTGACTAGCAGACATGGTAGAACTTTTAAGCCCTTGTCCCCCTCCCTTCCTGATAAGTTGGTATTTTACCAACTTATCTTGTCTTTAAGCCTATAGTTTTGCTATGTTTGAGTGATAAAGTCACGTGTTTAATGCCATTTACTTCTATATTACAGGTTCTATGTGATTTAGAAGTGATGTCGAAGAAACCAAGTGAAACGAGGCAAAAAGAAGCTAAAAAGAAGAAAATCTGGGCAATACCCTCAATTGTCGCAATTGCGACAAAATCCTGGGAATTGCGAAGCCAACACTCATGGTAATTGCGAGAAATTCATGGGAATTGCGAAGGAAGACCATTTAGGCAGTCTTCGCAAATGCAAAGAAGACTTCGCAAATGCGAAGTCAACCCAAGCAGTCAACCTTCGCAAAATGCGAAACATCTATCGCAAATGCGAAGTGGAGCAGTATAGGCATAGTTCGCAATTGTGAACTTATGTTCGCAAATGCGAAAATCGAGCAGCAGACCTGGGCAATTCTGGGATTTCACATTTTTTGGCCCCAAACCATTTAATATCCGACTTAGCTCAATTGTAAGAGATCTTTGGCATATCTTAGGGCTAGAGAGAACAAGGTTGGAAGCTAGGGTTTGCACACGCACTTGGGTTTTGAAGATTTCAAGCTTGTGGTTAAGGATTTTTTACCCATTTATGTTTATTTCTTAATTTTCTTGCTTTGTATTGAATATTTAAGCGTGTAGTATTTATTTCGTACACTTGAATCTTGTTTATGGAAATATTCATAATTAAAATGTGGATTAAATACCTTGTTGTGCTTTTGTATTGAATGATTTTCATTTATCTATGAAGTGAGTTATTGTTACTTTAATTATTCTTGTTCTTTAATGTTTCCAAAGGGATTAGCTAACCCTAGGACTCGCTCATTTACTCTGAATTAATTTTGGGAAAGATTATTTGGGGTTGGGAAAGATTAATTAACAAGAACTTGAGGCTTTAACCCTTATTTTATAGATTCTACCTAGGGATAGGATTGAACTACTTGTAGCCATATCCTGGTGTGCTTAATCTCTTAATTGTTTTAGGGATAATTCAATTAGGAAGTCTTGTTAGTCTTCGGAAGAAGCTAATATAGAATTATTACCCGTGGCTAATTAACATAAACTCGCTCATATTTGTAAAATCATGTAATACATTGGATCGTTACTTGAGTGTAGTTCCCAAAGCAACCACACTTGTAGCCATTGACCATTTTACTTGCTTTCTAGGTTAGTTTACATTTCCGCAATTAGGTAGAAATATTTTCTAAAATAAATTCTAAGTGTTTGGCATTACATAACAAGTGATAATTCTCTTTCATTCCTAATCGCCTACATATTGTTCTCTGTGGGATTCGACACCGACTCATAGTTGGGTAAATTATATTGCATGCGACCGTGTCCATTTACTTTTTAGTAGTGGATTTGGACGTCATCAAAATTGGCGCCGTTGCCGGGGAACAATTTGGCGTAATTTAGGTTGTTTGAGAAATAAGCGTAAGTGCTTTGGTCCAAACTTGTGAATATTTGTGTAATTATTTTTCTTACCTTCGTCTATTTTTCTTGTTTGTTTCTTGTTTATTTTGTTAGTTTTGAAAAACGGCATCATATAACGAAAATTGGTCGGATGGTAGTTGTTCATACTTTGATGACCCTTGTCCTTATTGTGGAGGACCACACTCGTGGCAAAATTATTTAAATTCTCCCGGGGGTGGATTGTGCGCACAATCTCAAACCCATGAGTGAAGTATTTGTGATAAGTGTGGTTGCCAAAATGGTCATAGGGAGTATTGTGCTTATTTGTCCTTCCCTTCCCCAAGCCCCCGCTATGATGATTCTACTTTTTGTGATAAAAATGAAAGGGCTATGGAAGTGGATGAAGTTGAGCATGGTCAAAATGGAGAGTTCAAGCTCATGTTGGAATGCCTAATTGAAGGAGGAAACAAAGAACAAAGTGCCTTGGAGGAGCTTTTGGAAAATAGTCTCCAAAATGACTTGGCACTTGAAAGGTTGCACTCACAAATGAGAGAAATGCTTGAAGCTTTAGAGGTTCAAAAATCCTCGGAAGTTAATGATAGCCAAGAATTTTCCTTAGATGTGGAAGCCGAAAATCCTTCCTTGGCGCTTGATCAAAACCAAGAGGAACTCTCAAATGCTCAAAATGAGAAGATGATGCTCATGTTGGAGACCATTCTTGCAAATGAGGAAAAGCACAACTTTGCACTCGAGGACTTGAAACAAGGCTTGGCTCACTATGATGAAAATATCCGCACTTTAGAAGATCAAATGAAAATATTGGTTGAGGCTCACTATGCCCACCAACTTGAGAGTGTGGAAGGAAGTCAAGAAGAGTCCAATTCCGAGGAAGAAAGTGAGCTTTACTTCGAGGAATCAAGACTTGAACATCCGCCAACCGACTCCATGAGTGTTTGTGATGCCAAGAAAAATATGGAATTAGAGTCAACTGGGGTGATTGAAAATATTGTTGAAATTGACTCTAGTCCGGGGGAAAAAGAGGATGTCAAAATCCGGGAAAAATTACAAGTTGGAGGTTTGAAGTCACATTCCAAGCATTTTTCAACATTGGAATTGTGTGGTAATATGGAAGTTGAACTACACGAATCAATGAAGGACTGCGAGGAGGAACAATTTGAGGGAACAAGAAAGCAAAATGACATTCCTCATATGAAAGCCAAGAAATGCAAAATGAAGAATTTAAGGCTTAGCTTGATCATCGACTTACCACCCCCCATCGCTCGTGGTCACAAGCTTAATTCCAAGCTAGGTGCCCGGTTCATATCATCCAAGTGGCGAGAAAAGTGGCAAAGTTGACTTGCGTCATGCGACGACGTTAAATGCGGCGCTTGGTGGGAGGCAACCCATCAGTTTTTCAAAATTTTTAGTCATTTTTGAAATTTTCTTTTCTAGAATAGCTTATTATATTGTGTCTAACCAATCTGCCAAGTTTCATAATTTCTGGAGTTGATTTGAGTAGGTCGGGGCGGCAAAGATCAGGAAAAATAGTAGCTGGTGAAGTTGCAGGTGCACAGTTGTCGCATTTGCGAACTCAGGTTCGCATTTGTGAAACCGTCCCTTCGCAATTACCAAATTCCTGTCGCAATTGTGAACTGTATAGAGTTCATTAAACTTCGCAATTGCGAAGTTAGTGTCGCAATTGCGACATCAGAGAGGTAAAAACACACTTCTTAGCTCAGTTTGAACAAAAGTGAAGCAAAAGGTCTGAAGCTCTAAAACCTTTGTCTCCCTCACTCTCACAACTGTAAAACTCCACTATCTCTCACTCCTAACTGCAAGGATCCAGGTATGAAAGCTTAATCACTCATTCTTCTTCTTCTTCGTCTTCTTTTTCTTCTTATTTTCTCTTAACCTTAGGTTTTCAAATGGGTATCATTTCCTTTGCCCGAAATTGTTTAAAAATGGTTCAAATCATAAGTTGATTTCTAGGTGAGGTTGGTTGAGAGTGTGTGATTTTGTTCTTTGCTAAAAATTTGGGAAAGTCTGAGTACCCAAGGCTTGTCAACTAGAAGTGAAATTGTTGTGCTTCTTATGTGATTGATGAAAGGCCCGAATGAGATTCTTTGCCGAAACATCAATATTTTTGTTGATTCATGGTTGTCTATGAAGTCTAGTGCATGATTCATGTTTAAAAGATTATTGGGTTCATTAAAAATGGCTTGGATCCCAAAATTTTAGGGCTTGGTACTGTTGTCAGTGAAAAATCTTGGCTGGGGACGATGGCTCGCAATTGCGATGGCCTCTTCGCATTTGCGAAGATTCCATCGCAATTGCGAAAATTGCGCAGATCTGAGACCTTCGAAATTGCGAAGATTTCTTCGCAATTCCCATAAGTGGGTACCTCTGAGTCCTTCGCAATTGCGAAGATTTCTTCGCAGTTTCCATACTTGGGCACTTCTGCTAACTTCGCATTTGCGAAGATTCTTTGGGAATTGCGATATCAGAGAGCAGGCAATTCAAATATTTCAAAACCCTGAAATTTTTTCTAAGGCTGGATTTTGACTGTCCGATCATTCCTTTGGCATATTTGACTCATTTTGCACTATTCTTCATAGCCATACCATGTTTTCACTCTTATCATTTGTTGACAGGTACTATAATTGGAAAGTGAGCTCTAACTCTGAAGGATCCGCAAGTGACAACCCCTTGGAAGCTGAGCAGAACTACGACCAACACCGGTTCTTGTCATTGGA